GAGCTCCCGGGGCACATCCACGTAGCGGGAATCGATGTGGCAGCGATGAAGAGCGTGGAACACGGCCCAATGTTTGATACTGTCAAAAGCCTTCTCATAATCGACGAAGGCCATGACAAGGAGCTGGTTAAATTCGGGACATTTCACCATCAGTCGATTAACCGTGTGGATATGGTCGATGGCTGAGAAGCCGCTCCGAAAGCCAGCCTACTCAATAGGCTGCGCTTCGTCAAGTTCACTGGTAAGCCAGATGGTCAAAACTTTTTTGGCAGGAAATGGAACACAGTGCCCATGTTTTTTGCTGTCAGGTCTTAATACACGACTGAGGCTTGCGCGGGGCAAGAACGTAATGGTTTTTAGTTAAACTACTTACCAGTTGCAACCAGTTGTATATTTGGCACCATAACTACAATTTTCGCGTGGACAAAGTTTGATCAAGTACCCAGCCTCCCATATATTGGTAATTGCAATACTTTCAATGATTTTAGTTAGTGCTTCTAATAGTGAATAACATACATGGAATTGTTTTTCTTAAAAGCGTACACATTTTACCAAAACGACTATTTTATACAATGAAACAGAAAGTGGACACACTAGCAAAATTGAAAATCGGGACATTAATATTTTTCAATAATTATTATTGTACAATGAATTTTCTGAAATTCTTGCCCTAAACTCATTTTACGTCTAATTAAACTATAAAAAATAAATCATTAATATTTCTTGACTTTACACCTGGTTTCTCAGCCTGGACTCGTAAAATTTACGCATGAGATATTCTCCCATTTATATCATCACACATTAAAACTGTAGGAGTTGGTGTAAATAATTGTTATAATATGAATGTGGGTATCAATAAAAAATACAAAAGCAGTCTTGACCCAACGCTGGAGTTTCATTGACGGTCCCACGTATCTATACTAAACATGGCGCAGCCGGTACTACCTTGAATGTATTTAGAGACCAAAAAATTAGGAAATTTGGCAGTGAATTAATTAAAACATAGTGACGTGAAGTGTAAACATATCCGTAAGAATTGAAAGTGAAAAGAAAAAGTGAAATACTAAAAATGGAGTCAATTTTGCAGGCACGGCGACCGTTTATTTTTGAAAATAATTTGGTTAACGTAATATCTGGTAATTTGTGTACTGAGTGGGAAAGATGGAAGAAAGCGTTTAATATTTACTATGAAGCCTGCGAGTTATCACAAAAAGCTTTAGGATTAAAGTACAAATAAATGTATTGCACGTTATTGGTAATAAATGTCGCGAGGTATACGAGCAATTCATCGGCGAAGTAAAAAATATCAAAGAATTCTTTTTAAAATTTGATAAATTTTTCATACCGAAAAAGAATTTAGCTGTAGAGAGACAAAAATTCTTCAAAAGAGACCAAAAAGAAGTGGAATTAATAGAGCAATACGCTTTTGAACTTAATAAAATTGCGACAAAATGTGAATTTCAAACCCTACGCGACGACCTTGTCTGCAGTAGGTTAATATGCGGAATTCAAGATATTGCACTATCTAAACCATTACTGAGAGAACCAGAAATAACGCTTACAAAAGCATTAAAATAAAATAAAAAGTCTGAAAATAACAATGTAAAATTAAATATTTCATGAAAATAAATGTCAATAAATAAAATAAAAATATGAACTATCGTCCGGTTATAACATAGCCGAGCAAAGGATAAAGTCAAGTAAAAATAAAATGTCAGAAAACAAGTAAAATAAAAATTCAAATTCAAATTAAATTATTTCAAATTTAATACAAAAAGTCCAGTAAAGCAAATGTCGCGTAGTAAAACGCACACAGGTATTGCTCTACGAAGTATATATATACACAGTAAAGTGTGATAATATGAAATAAAATAAAGACTTCGACGCGATTGTATAATAATATTCGTAGGTTAAAAAACAGTTAAACGAGTCATATAACCTGTTTCTTTTCACAAAGAAAAGGGATGGACTGAGTAGATAAATGTCAATGTATATATGTAATATTCCTGCTCTCAGGTAGCCACCAGAGACAGTATCAATGCGCACGCACAGTTTACGTGAGGGGCTCATTAAAGTAGGTCGGTCAATTGCTAACTGAGAAATATTTGTGTAATATTGGTAATAGGACCACGAGGGGAACGTAACTTCTCGAAGATATCCACACCAACAAGTACTAGAGGTCCAGATTGCTGCAGTTAAGTAATTTATAATGTGCCAACATGTGATTATATAATACAATACAATGTGAATTCAAATGTTACTATTAAGTGAAATTGTGTATACAAGTGTGTCCAAAACAGTAAGTTCAAACGGGCATGCAAGGAAGTACGATATAAATAGGTAAGTGAAAATTATTTCAACAAATAGTTTACATTTTGGTATGACTGGTAGAGGTTTATCTTCTTTGGTTTCATGTACATAAATTCGGCTATTATAAGTCCAAACTAATTCAAATTTATGCGGTTTAAGTTTTCTGGCATCTTGATATAGGTCATGGTAGTAGGCTTTTAAGTGAGAACTTAAAAGTAACTAACATAAACAGTGCGGCGGTCATCTGCGTAGACGAGTTCCTGTATTTTAATGCCTTTCCGCTTCCTAGAAGCACGCAGTATGGCATTTTTATTTTCCAAATTATGAAATTTGGCCAGAATTGTACGTGGTTTAGATTTATCCCGATAGACCAACACGGCCGACCCATGCAATGTCATGAGCCTGAACTAATACCCTCGTGACCGCACCAACCTGTACTATAAGAGCATTAAGGTTTTCATTTGGATGCTCGATTACACCATGCAGCTCCAGGTTACACATGCGCTCTTTCTGTTCAGCTTGGTGATTGCGCTCTTCAAGAGCATTGATCCGTAGCTGTGTACCAGTGATGAGATCCTTGACACTTTCAAGATCCTTTAATTTAATCTCCACGGCCTCAACCCGTGCTTCCAGATCGCTATGATACAGTGGGTCAGACAAATCTTCTTTTGGGCGCATATCTTTTCTAATAGAATTAACCTCGGCACGTAGCTCGTCAATGTTACTAATTAAGGAGGCACCGTCAATGGTAGATTTACTTGGTGACTTGTCCTTTCGACATTGGCAACGACGCCAGTTGCCACGAGGCTTACTGCGGAGACACGAATGGTGACAGAATAAGTCACAAGCACTGCACTTCACCGCAGTGCTTACATCAGCACCACTTACTTCACTGAAACACTTCACACATATTGCCATTCTTCTAAGATCTTGATATTTCTCGAATTTAATTAAAATAATAAACGACTTTAACATTAAAAACAATAATGTAATAAATAGAATAAAATAATAAAGTTTAAATAATTATAAATCAAAAAATTTTTGCAGTTACAAATTTGCTTGCAGCCCGTTAAAAGTTGCGGGTAGTAATGTGATAACACGATTCAATTCTAATGAATTATTGTTGATTAAAAATGTTTTATTCTTGGTATGATTTTGAGTTTTGTATGTGTTAATAAATATGTTTAAAATAATCTCATTTTACCCATGTATCTTATTTCTTAAAGTGAACTGAATAAAATAAATGAAATTGTACAAGATGGATTTATTTCTTCTTAAATGAGTATTTTTTGCACTTGGGACAATTCGAAATATCTTTGGTAATGTTATACACCTAGCCCCGAAACTTTTTTGTGGAACTTATCATTAATGGTTTTGTAAAATATTTAACTCTAACGTCAGCGTATTTCCAATGTTCAGACTGATTTGGTATAGTTGCCAACTTTTTCGTATCAAATATTTATATTTTAATGAGATGCGTTGCGGCGTCGCCATCATCTTCATTGATAGATATGTATGATGTATGGTCCTTGTTGGGACGTCTAACGGTAGATGATCGTTTTAGTTTTTTCTCTTCCGGTTCATCAAAGAAATCATCAATTGTTTCATGCTCCTTTTAAGTTGGTACGCAGAAGGAGGACTGTCATCATCGGAGTCAGGAAAGTAATATTGTTTGAAAGCATTTTCTTCCAAATCCTCTGCGCCACCGTTCATCATACAGTACGTCATCTGTTATCAATAACAAAAACAGAAATAATCATTATAAATATTCCATAATAATTTATGGAATTCATGTCAAAGCAAAAGCAATGAAGTTTGTCACTTACGTCCATGGTCCTAGTAATGATTGTAGAGTGTTACTACAGTCTTGCAGAGGTATGTATGGTACAGCAAGATGGTTTTATACTTCGATATTATTTGTTATTTGTAAATACGTTACACAAATTGTCATTAATAAGATCACAAGTACACTACATGAGAGTAATGGTATCTTAATGTGCTTAATTGACAGTAATTATATTTGTTTTAGAGAGTGTAATGCGTGACACAAGACGAGGCGGAAAGAAAGGAAACAAGCAACCGCTTTTGTCTTTTTAGGCATCTAAAAAAAAGGAAAACAGGGTTTTTGTCAGTACGTCACTTGTCTAAAACTCGCGAATCCCTACTACTCACGGGGTAAAGATTGCCTAAAGAAGCCCGGTATTGTATAGAACCCGGTATTGTATAGAATGACTAGGTTTTCTATACAATCCCTGAATTATATACATGACCGTTCAAGGTTATTTGTAAAATACTAACAATCTCATAGGATTATAATATATTGATAATATCATAAAGAACAACATGTCTTCCATGTCTTTTAATAATTCATCCAGATTATACGTTCGTACGATTTAAATAGATCATTCTAAACGGTGAGAACCTTTGGCGATAACAAGAGGAAGTGGGGGTCGTCGCGGAGAACACTTGCACGTTTGAACTTATTTGTTCTAAAAAGTGTTAGATAGTACGACAAAAGCTTAAAAGTTTCTTTTTGTAAATTCATAACGTTTTGTAAAAAGTCGTGGAACAAAAGTTGTTTGTTGTTTGTGGTGTGTGTAATATAGTCCTGCGAGGTTTTTAATAAAATTTTAATTTTAATTTAATTAATATACCTACCTAAATAAAAATTTATTATAATTTATTTTTAGGTGTATTTACTTCTGGTGGTACAATTACTGGCGGAGGCAGGAATTATCTGGACGATAATTAACGTTGATGAAGTAGTCGATTTTTTATCAGACAAAAAGAATGAATGGCTTTTGTAAGTTGTACACACAAATAAGTTTTTAGACGCCTCTTTCAAACCAGGCTACAGTGCCCAGGACACTTATTTATAACGTTTGTATGTACTGTTTTCACAGCTACGTAGCCGTTGCAACCCCATTCGGTACTTACATTGCGCTGACCTACTGCTGTGTGTCGTTGCGACGCAAAGTGCCATACAACTACATATTTCTCTTTATTTGGACGCTGCCCTTTGGTTTCACGTATGGATACTTCTCAGCCTACAAAGAAATCGACCCCACAGTAAGTACCTATGCCTCTGGCTCTTTATCCCTAGAGTACAATTCCCAGTTCGGAATTTATTCAGTTCCAAATTATATTAAGCAAAACTGACACCTCACTTTTTAGCCCTACAGACTCCTTCATATCTGACGCTTATAGAAGCGCTGCAGTGGCGCCACTGCTAATTTCCTTACAATATTCAGAAGCATATTTACAGCGCCACTATCGTGACACGCGCGCGCCACTTTTGCAGTTACTATTAAGCTCAGGCTACACAGAGGCGGTACAGCGGGAAAAACGTTCCGGGGCGAGCCTGCGGGAAGCAATACGTACCGGGGCGTGTCACACTAGTCCCAAACGTAGTTCCCGGCGGAATAACGGTGCGAAGGCGGCCAGTGTGACACCAAAAGCAGCTATGTTTCATAGTCTACACACATTTTAAAGACTTTTAAAATTCTGCTTTTATTAGCGCTAGGAAAGCAACGCAAAAGAAATTTCGATCAAATTCCTAATATTGAAACTAACTCCCGGACTGCGCCCCATTGCTACCGCTCTGTGTGGACTGTTGCATAGAACTCAATGGAATCTAACTCCCGCGCCCGCAACCGCCCCACATTCGCCACGCGCCCGGCTCGCACCCGGTCCGCCTGTTTGTCATAGCGTTCGGCCCCGGGCCGCGACGGACCCACTGCCGCCGCTTTCAATGTGGCAGGGTTCATTAGAACTCGAACATTACATTGATTCCCGCGCCCAGAACGCTCCCGCTCCCGCGTCTGTATGATCAGGGCATTAATGAACTAAAAATTATCAGTAATTTTTAGTTTACTGCACACTCCCAGCTGCCACGCCACGATACCAAGTGACGGTGACGGGACGAACAAGTCGTGCTGGTGGTAAGCGACACGCCTGTCCATAGCAGTTGCAGTGCCACCCAGAGCTGTACATCGCAAAGATTTGAGGGGCACTGTCACTGCGCGTGCCACCCTGAGACACAAATTTGTAATGTAACATATTCCCAGGGTGCGGCTGGGACAAGTACACTATTGTTTACCTATAGGAATTATCCAAGATTCTATTACTAACAAAAGAAACACCAAGTTTTAACATTGATCGGTTTACAATAAGTAATAAATGCACCTCTTAACTATACTGGAATTTCATGAACCGCCCGGGGTTACAAACTTAACTAATCTAGTGACGGCGGCGGACTAAATGGTACGTTTACGGGGTTGAAGGGTGAACAATTCGCACGGCCGAACACACCATGGTCACGCGACACTCCAACACAGGAGACGGATAGGGGTAGGTGGGTATGCGGGGGCGAAGAGTGAGCGTTTCGCACGATCTAGACACACCTTGGTCACGCTCAGCAATTACTCCCTAATACTGGAGACGGACGGGATAATCTTTACGGGGCGGAAGTTGAGCAATTAACACGGCCTGGGCACACTTTGATCACGCGCTGCAGCAACAGCCCCTCACCCAGTGGAGGTTCTTACCATAATAAGCTCCTCCAACGAGTGCGTCTCACGCCCCAGCTGGCGGTCTTTTAAGCCTGTACCGCTTGTGTCGGCATCGGTCCGCGGAACTTTCCATGACACACGATCGGCCAGCGCTATGTGACAGGCCGCGGCAGGCGCGGCGCATCACAAATTGATAAGTCCTATGTGCCTGTATTTTCACCAGCACATTACTGCATGGCGGCAGAAATAGTGGAGCTGGTGGTACTTCCCTGGACGAAGTCTTTCACAAGCAGCTCTACTGCTGCTATAGTGGTTATAGACACTAGTAGACAGAAAGCAATATAGTGAGGTGAACAATGTTTTCTTAAGAGTCGATACAACCTCAAATGGCTTTGGTTGGTTCCACATAACAGTGAAAATATTGAATCAATCACTTTGGTAAAAATATATAGTAAAATTTCAAATATTTACTGATTAGTAATATACGGTGTGAAAACTCGATTCTTAAAAAATTGCACGATGGAAAAAAACACAAACTTACCTCGAAATTTTACAAAAATACCTCTGTATTCTATAGGTAGGTACTTTATATAGGAGTAACAATGATTTTTTGAAATATATAAACTGAACAAAATGGAATACGTTATAGTATACGATATACATTTTTCAAATGGCGTTAATTTCCTTTGTAAAATAATAAATTCAGAAATAAAGGCAGTGTCACTGCTGCTCGACCCGCGCTATTGAACGGATTCAGTAAGGAAAAAATTTAAATTCGAGCCGAGGTAGTATAGTATACACTTAATATCCACTTAAAAACAGTATTTATTTATTTATTAATCTTTTTGCACAATACATTAATGTACAAATGGTGGACTTAATGCCATAAGGCATTCTCTACCAGTAAACCATTGGGCCAAACAGAAAAAAAAAAAGGTTGGTGCTACACTTAAAACAGAAAAAGAAAAAAATATCATAAGCCTAAATTTTATGGTTAATTTATACAGTATAAAATAAACATAATACAGCATAAACATACTCAACATACGTGGGGTGTGCTATAGGTTTCCGGAATGAATTAGAAAAAAATACTATAAATGGTCAGAAATGAATTTATTGTTTCTCAAAATATTCTCCGTTAGCGTTAATGCACTTTTTCATACGAAGGAACCAATTTTCAAAACATTTATGCCACTTACAGGCACTTGCACATGCGCCACTTTGGTTGGTTTCGGCTCATCTCGAAAGACCCATACGCTCGATTGCTGTTTAGTTTTGGGATCGTAACTATAAATCCATGTTTCGTCACCTGGTACTATATCCCACACCAAATTTGACGCCCCTTCGTTGAATCTGGTAAGCGTGGCATTGCACCAAGTGACGCGATCCGTTTTTTGAGCCTCAGTCAAATTGTGTGGGATCCACCGAGGGCACAGCTTTTTCACACCCAAATGTTTGTGTATTATTGATTGTGTTTGACTCATGCCTATACCTAAAGATACCCGAATCTCATAGTATGTCGCATGCATGTTTGTTTTGATCATACGGCTCACAGCATCGATGTTTTTGTTGTTCACAGCAGTGGACTCGTCACTGCGATTCACACGACCGCCTTTGAATTCTGCAAATCAGCTATAAATAGTCATCTTGCATGGTGCTTCATCGCCAAAAGCAGTTTGAAGCCGAGCGAAGCTCCGCTGAGTTGTTACATTACACTTAAAGTCGTAGAAAATCATACTACGAAAATTTTCACGAGTTAAATCCGTGGTGATGTAGACAACCAATTTTTAAAATGACGCCACAATGTAAAAATAAGTGACAGTCAGATGAAACAAACTGTATTCTATTCTACAGCCAAAGAGTTCCATTTTCAAATGTTGTAATTACTTTTTAAATATTGTTCATGTTCCCAGTTCTTATGGTGCATAAAACTAAACAACACGTGCAGGAGTAAACGTCAATGTCTATATCAAGTCTCGCGAAGCACGTAATAAAACTATGACAAGCTGTGCCTTATGTGGTTTAATTTTGCATTTCACGTAAATGAGAACATGTCGTGAAAAACCTGGGGTCGAAAATTGCCCAGACCCACCTACGTGATCGATAGAGGAGGTTAGTATAAGATCTAGCCAGGTGTCCGTCGTGTCTACATTGTGATGAGTAAGGCTTAAGAGGTAGAACGGTTATAGTTGCAGACTCAATCACTGTTTTCAATTAACGAGCCTTCGTGCCATCTTCCAAAAGGTCTATATTAAAGTGACCAATGATTATTTGATGTGTGTATTCAGCGCTAAGGGGTGAAAGTAAAGATTCAAAGGAGGAAAAGAAATCTATAAAAGGAAGACAATAAATAACTTCTAGAACAACTTCTATACTTTTAATCTTGATCTCAACGAGTAAGTGTTCCAAAGAACTGGAGTATATATAGGGAGAAGAAGAAAGTATTTTGAAAGGGATGTCATGAAGACTAAAACAAGTAGAAACAAGGTTTGGTTTAAGCCAGGATTCTGAAATGAGAATACCGTGAATATTAAAAGAAGAGAAAGTATGCTAGGGATGCTTTGAGCAATTATTATGGCAAATATATTATGGCAAACGTTCAGATGGTTCGTGAAATTTTGGAATTCGGTACGGCGACAGCGACGCGGTGGCGACGCGAAAAATTAGGTGGCCGCATTGCAAAAGCGAGAAGCCAGCGAAACGCCGCTACGTCGCTTAATGGGGGACCGCACCGGGCTGGTTAGGCGATCAGTGGCGGCTGCACTGACGCCGCAGTCGTATAGTTGACCGACAAAATCAAACTTTTTTGTTTACGTCGTGTGTTGTCTCCTTCGCAACTCTTCGCTAGAATACGTCGCGCTCTCTCGCACGAACGGCGCGAGGCAGTGCGGCCGCTCAGGTACATCACCGCATATTTTGTCGTAAATCGTGACAAATCGCCGTGTCGCACCGCTGCTTGTCGTACGAAATTCAAGTGACGTCGCGGGTCACTGAATAATTTTATTTAAGGCAGACTCCCTCATTACTTGTAGAATATTTGAAATTTCTTTACGATATGAACAAATAAATTTCACTTGTCGTTTATGCAGTGCGGCCACCGACATATGTTTATATGAGTTTGTTTTCACGAAATCGCCGTCGCGTCGCAGTCGCTTACATAAACAATATTTTAAAAGTAATTACAACATTTGAAAATGGAACTCTTTGGCTGTAGAATACAGTTTGTTCCATCTGACTGTCACTTGTTTTTACATTGTGGCGTCATTTTAGAAATTGGTTGTCTACATCACCACGGATTTAACTCGTGAAAATTTTCGTAGAATGATTTTCTACGACTTAAAGTGTAATTTAACTCAGCGGAGCTTCGCTCGGCTTCAAACTGCTTTTGGCGATGAAGCACCAAGCAAGACGACTATTTATAGCTGGTTTGCAGAATTCAAACGCGATCGTGTGAATCTCAGTGACGAATTTCGTGATGGTCGCCCGTCCACTGCTGTGAACAACAAAAACATTGATGCTGTGCGCCGTATGATCAAAACAGACATGCATGCGACATAC